TGCTGATGACTATATATGTAAAGTGTTAATGATACACACACACACACACACACACACACACACACACTTATTTAGGTAGCCTAAGAGCCTAACCTCAAAGAGAATTTAACCAGAATACTATTAGGAATTCAGAAAATGAACGAGAGGCTTCCTTGACTTTGTAAATATGAAAAGCAAAAACAAAAAACAAAGGAAGCTAAGCTGTCAAAACCAATGTCAAGGTCACACCACTAGAAGAGCCTGCTTAGGAAACTGTTCCAGCTTGCGATGTCACCACAAACAACCACTGGAATGAATCCCAAATTGTCCTCACTTCTCTGTGTCTCAATGGCACATCTTGGGGTAACAAGCTCCAGCTCCAGCTGTCTAAGACTAAAACTATATGTATGTGCACAGCCTTTCCAGCACTCTCTCCCAGAAAAATTAAAAAATGGCAATAATATAAGGAGATTTAAATGGCAAAACCCAGAAATGGAGGCATGGCTAACAATGTTATCTGGTAATAAAAACTCAATTTCTAAATCAAAACAGTTCTGCATAAGACCGGTAGGCTAAATAAGAAGATATCAGAGGACAGAAATATATTACCTGATACAATCTGATACACTGCATTATGACTAAGAAGATTGAGACGCCATAAGGTTTTAAAACCAGCAAAAACATTTTATGGCATTTGTTCCAAAAGTGACTAAACACTATAAATAATAAGCAAACTATTCAGTAAAGACAACTAGCTCCGGCACCCCCAAAATCAGCTGGTTATGGTGGCTCATGTCTAACAATCCCAGATATTAGATTAGAGAGTGAGAATGAGATCAGGATTGAGGAGCCAGGCCAGCCTGGACAAAAGGTTTAGCTAGATCTCATCTCAACACACAAGCCAAAGTAGTGATGAACAGCTGTGATCCTTACTCAGGAACTTGCAAGAGGCTAAGGGGGTAATCTGAGGCTGAGGTTGGCTGCAGGCAAAAGTAAAAACAATGCAAATAAAAGAAGTGAAGTACTTCCAAACTGCACTGACCTTTAAAGGGAATAGGTTATATGACTATAAGTTGCTGTTTGAGACATTAGAAAAAAACAACTATGTAAATTGGTTCCTATAGCTCATACCTGTAACTCCTAGCTACTCAGGAGGCTGAAGGATCATGGTTAGAAACAAGCCAAGCAGAAAAAAACAGCAAGAATTCTATCACCAATCAGCAAAACGTTGGACTAGAGGCATGGCTCAAGTGATAGAGCACAACTGTGAGCAAAAAAGCTGAGGGGGAGCTTGATGCTCTGTCACATATATGTGTGAATATGTATACATGTATATGTATACAGAATTTTTTTTTTTTGGTGGGTCGTGGGGCTTGAACTCTAGGCCTGGGCGCTGTCCCTCAGCTCTTCAGCTCAAGGCGAGCGCTCTACCACTTGAGCTACAGCGCCACTTCCGGTTTTCTGGTGGTTTATTGGAGATAGGAGTCTCAGGGTCTCTCCTGCCCGGGCTGACTTTGAACCGCGATCCTCAGATCTCAGCCTCCTGAGTAGCTAGGATTACAGGCGTGAGCCACCAGCGCCCGGCTTGTATACAGAATTTTTATACCTGAGATTTTAACAGTAATGACTACTATATCATAAGATACAATTTTGCTTTTCTTATTCTTTTTTTGTTGACTGTCATGGCCCTGAAATGAGGACTAGGTACTGTCTCTGAGTTACTCAAGGCTAGGGCTCTACCACTTTGAGGAACAGCTCCACTTCTGGTTTTTGAGTGGTTAATTGGAGGTAAGAGTCTCACAGGAACTTTTCTGCCTTGGCAGGCTTCAAACTGCAGTCCTCAGATCTCAGCCTGCTGAGTAGCTAGTATTATAGACCTGAGCCACCAGCACCTGGAGACACATATTCTGCTTTAAGTTCATTTTACTCAGAAGCATTTCTAAAAATTTATTCTGAAGAACAAGGACTGGATGTGCCTAAACTGGTAGAGCACTTGCTTGACAAACATGAAGCCATGAGTTAAAACCCCAGTGCCGGGGCTGGGAAGGTGGCTCAGTGGTAGAGCGCTTGCCTTTCATGCTCAAGGCCCTGGGTTCGATTCCTCAGGACCACATAAGCAAAAAGAAAAAAGCCGGAAGTGGCGCTGTGGCTCAAGTGGTAGAGCACTAGCCTTGAGCTAAAGA